CTTTGTTTTATTTTTTTTTTTTTATTATTATTTCTTGTTTTTCTTTCTTTTCTTTTCTTTTTTTTTTTTTGTTTATATCTTTGTTTCTCTCTAACACTCTCTTAACCATGGAAGCTTACGCGATGAAAACTAACCATCCTCATAAAAAAAAAAAACAATACCCCCTTGCTCTCTGCTGCTACGCCCCTGGGGGCCCTTGTTGTGTATTGTTCAATTTGTCCGTCGCTCTATCTTTTTTACATATGTATATCACCTGGGCATATATACACACATACATACACGGGTTTGCATATTGTATAAAATTGGAATTTTTGGACATTAATTACACGTTGTTAGGCGTCGTTGTGGCTTACCAAACTGTCTTTCTCTCTTCACGTAATACGACTACTATTATTTTCCTTTGCTGTTGTGTTTTGTACGTTTCTTTCTTCTTTTTTTATTAATTTTTTTTTTTATTTAATTGTGTATTTAAAATTCATGTTAATTGTTTTTTGTTCGTTTTTTGTGTAACTTTCCTCCTACTTAACCTCAAACGTCACGATTGTTCCTCACCCGAGGGCTCGATGGCTTACAGAGAAAAATGATATCTCTTCCTGATATTCACTTCGAATTTGTTCGTTTATGAAATGAATTATTTAACATGTTCGAAAATAAATCATATTTTTTTCTAAATTTTTTACGATGATAATGATATTGAATATTAAAATTGGTAAAGAATGAAAAATTGAATGAAAAATAAATAAAATATATTAAATATTAATTATCGTAGATTGAAAATAAATATAAATCGGAAGAGACATTTTTTCTTCAAGTTTAGTAACTATGTTCAAAAGCTATTCCAATTCGTTTTCATTTGACTAATAATTCTTGAAATATACGCAACATATTTATATAATATCATACTTAATTTTAATATTTTTGTTTCTTATTAATAAATCGATCACTTGAAAAGAAGAAAAAAATTTATATTTAAAAAATGAATTAAAAGTTTAATAACTATTCTCTTTATTTAATATGTAAATACAATGGCTTGAAAATAAAGAAATTCTAACCTATCAGATATTCTAACCTATAAAATCTCGTCTCGTTGAAATACTTATCAGAATCAAAAAAAATCATTAAAAACTTTTTAAAAATAAAAAAATCAAATTGTACACGTTATTTTTCAACGATGATCAGATTGATAACTTTACTGAATCCATTGCAATCTAAAATAAAAAATTAATTTTATCTATCGAATATTTTTATTGAAATTAATATTTCGCATATTACGATATTCATTCTTCGCATTTTTCCTTTAAATTTTTGTTAAACGCATAAACATTCTACCGATATCATAGACAAACTTTCGAAAACGATCCCGTAAACGCTCGAACGGCAGCAAAACGCTTGACAAACTTGTGTAACAAAGAAAAAAAAACGAGATATCGACTTTTCAGCAATTCTGGCAACCGGGTTTGCAGCCAGGAACGTCCCAGGATGTCAAACCGTTTTCGCAGCCGGCGTACACCGGAAAACCAGCGACAGCGGTTTCAAGCGGTGACATGGTCCAGGCTCAACCACCCCCGCCTGGGAAGGACGTGCCATCGCAACCCACAAACTCAGGCTTGTCGAGTTCTCGGCCTACATGGAGCATCAGAGAGATCAGGATATTGTAAGTGCGAAATAAAATGGTGGCGAGCGTACAGTTTGACTGTTCGCTGATAGAATCAAATTCGATGTACAGGATGATTCAAATAAAATGTTTCAAATAGTTTCTTCAGATACCGATGAAGTTATTGATTTGGACAATATAGACGGCTATAATCTTTCGTTTTGCAATAAATTATTTTTTGGAACGATTCTTAATTTACACGTAACAACGATAGAATTATAAAAAAATAAGATAAAAATTCGAAATGAATAATTATATATATATATATTAGTAGAATTAAGATTATTAATTAAGTGATATATAAAAGTACAGAAATATTATAAAATTTGGATATTACATTTTTTATTTCATCTTTGATAAGATTTTTAAAATATTAATTTTAAAATGTCATAACTATTATGATTTGTGCTTATATTTATAACCAAATTTTTGTTAATTCTGTTATAATTATTGAACATCTTTAATTCTTATATAAAGAGAAAAATAATATAAAAAATAATGTGTCACTTAAATTTTTATTTACAAATATGTATAAATTATTTAAAAATAGAATAAACTTATTTATAATTCAGTGATATCTTTCTGATAATATAATACTAACAATTTTAATTCATAATTTTAAATGTATAGAGATACGGTTATCATGGAAAGAAAAAGAAATGATGAAAAAATCAGGGGACAAAGCATTGCCGACCGAAAGTCGCAATTTTACCCCAACAAACGTTAGAATTTTTTTTTCCGTTTTTTTTTTTGCAGTATCACAAGCACCTGTTCGTCCACATAGGAGGGTCCGCGACTTATGCGGATCCATTGCTAGAGGCTGTTGATGTCAGGCAGATATACGACAAATTCCCAGAAAAAAAAGGGCGGCCTGAAGGAACTTTACGACAAGGGACCACAGGTGGCTTTTTTCCTCGTTAAATTTTGGGCTGATCTCAATACAAACATTCAAGACGAAGCTGGAGCCTTTTACGGCGTAACAAGCCAGTAAGTAATAGTTATCATGATATATCACTTTTACAGTTTCTTTAATTTTTAATTAACTAATATGTTATAAATTTTCAAATTAATATTTCCAAAAAAAATTATTAACAAAATTGTTTTTTATAGATACGAGAGCAACGAGAACATGACGATAACATGTTCGACCAAAGTCTGCTCCTTCGGGAAACAGGTGGTGGAAAAAGTGGAGACGGAATACGCTAGGTTCGAAAATGGCAGGTTCGTCTATCGTATTAGTCGTTCGCCCATGTGCGAATATATGATCAACTTCATACATAAATTGAAGCACCTGCCAGAAAAGTACATGATGAATAGCGTTCTCGAGAATTTCACCATTCTTCAGGTATGACATTCTTTCCAGAATAGTTTTTCTCTTATATAAAATATTTATGAAACTAATAGTAATTTCAATTTAATTCTTTAGCATTCACATAATTGTTTAATCACATAAAAATAATCTAAAATACTGTTGTTATTTCAAGTATAAATTAATCATATTATATTCAATATATAACTAGAATAATTGCATAAAATAACTTATTGTAACAAATATAATTATTTTCACTGCTTAAGAGATAAAACATTATAAAACATTATATATGCATTAAATAAACATTACATACAGTAATTATTAAAAAAAAACCAATGATCATTATTTAAAAATATAAATTTATGTTATGTTTATATATAAGTAAAATTATAAACAAAATTGTGAAAATTAAAATATGTGTATTGTGAATTGATGAAAATTTGAAAATAAAACGAATTTCATATATTTTCTGCTATTTACATGTACATATAATTTTTAACTTGAAACTTTTTATTCCTAAGATATGAAATCTTTAATAATCTAAATAAGATCGTTCAATTTTTTATTTTAATTTTAATTGTTTAAATTTTTTATAAATTATTTTAATATTTATAATTATCTGTTTTCTTTCAATTGCAGGTTGTAACGAACAGGGATACGCAGGAAACGTTATTATGTACAGCATACGTGTTTGAAGTGTCGACGTCCGAGCACGGTGCACAACATCACATATACAGATTGATCAAGGACTAGCCTGCTTGAACCTGCTCGCCATGCAGCCATCCACCCCCCATCAGTGCCTACCATCACATAAAAAAAATCATCCATACGCGCATATACACGTCTACATACAAAAATGTTAACCCTTTGAAGCATTAGTTATATCGTTGTGATATCACATTTTTATATTGTTTTGTAGATTCTTTTTATCCTTAACCAAGGACACAAATATAGTATTTACATTGTAGAATAAATATGATATTTACATCATATATTAAATGATTAACAAAATTTGATTTTAATTGATTTGTATATGAAATATGTAAATGTAAATTTCTATAATTTAATTTTTGTCTTTCCTTTTTTTTCTTTTTTTAATCGATTATAAATGATTGATAATCTTGAATATCTTTTTTAAACGCTTCATGGGGTTAAGCGTTAATACATAATTGTAAACACGCTATCTACTATACATAGATACATTTCGCATCTATGTGTAATAAAGGTTCCATTGAAAATGTTCTGTTATTAAAAGAAAAAAAGGAAAAAATAATGCATAGAGTCATGTGTTTTTACATTCAACGTTTACTTTAATGATAGAAAATATTTAACTATTGAGAGATTTGATATATTGTATAAATATATTTTTATTTACAAATTTGAGATTTATACGTGATTTTTAATCAAATTATAATTTTTAATTTAATTAGGTTTTTCTTTGTTCTGTATTTTCGAACATTTTCTGTGAAACTCCTTAAAGAGAATGTGGAACACAAATACGTGAATACATTATACACATTACATACACAACATACACCTTTACACGTTAGAAGTACTGGCCAGCCCGAGCTTGAGTTTGATTCAAAACTGAGAAAAGTTGTAATAAAAAAAAATAATTGGTACGCGTGTTTTAACGTATCGAGGAAAGAATTTCCTGCTTATAGTTTCTGCAGGAAGTGCATTCCAGATGACGAAATTGTAAATTTTATATTGAGAAACAGATATAATCGTATATATATTTTATGAATATTCCGTCATTTGCTTGCAAACGATCGAATTCGTCGCGGTTTTAATAAAAGAGATATAATAAAAGTTAAGTTGAAATTGACGACAATAAATTTGGAAAAAAATGAGTGTCAGAGATATAGTGTATGTACCAAACGAAGAAGAATAAAAAAAAAAAAATATATATATATATATATATATAAAAACATAAAAAAAAGTGTAAGATGAGAAACAGACTCTGATCTCGGAAAGGCGTGGTACCAACATAATTTAGTATTATAGTTTTATTATTAAATTAGGAAATAGATCAGACAAGACATCCACACACAGATATACATATATTACATATAAGAATATATATGTTAAATATTAATGCAATGATTACGATTTACATTGTTATAAATGATCGTGTATAAAGTTATCTAAGTGATTTCTAAGTTTTAAACGAAATGGAAGTTGAATAGAGAGGTAATGCCATTATGATTTCTTAAGTTTCCTTAATTATATTATCATTACAATTTTTTTTTTTAATTATCCAAACTGAAAAAGATTGAGAATAACGTTACAACCGAAACCTTAAGCTTTCTTTTATAGAAATGTTTTCTTTCTTTTCTATTTTTTTTTTTTTTTTTTTTTTTTTTGTTTTTTTCTTAGTTCTATTACGACTAACAGTAAGAATTTTCGCTGCAGAGCTTTTTAATTCTCAATGATCAGATAAAAGAAAAAAAAGATTTTTATGTACTTTCTAAAAGAGACAAACTTTTAATAAACGCACTTACAGTCGTGCAAACCCACCCATTCTTAGGCAGCGACACTTAGATTAGAGGGATGTGTTTGTATTTCTTATAATCATTTTATTTTGTACTCTAAGATCTTTCTTTTTTTCTATAGTTCTTACGTAAATGATTTTCTTACTTAGCATATTTTGTTTGTTTTTATCTTTCTATTACACATTTATGATACAAATATATCAGATTTTATTAATTACGTGCGCTAGATACGGACAACATCTATCAAATAGAGATACTTTTCTTTAACTTAGTGACATGATCATCTTAATACATTTTATTAGGAGAATATTAAAATTAAAGTTCAAAAATGTAAACTAAATCTAATCTTTGAGCTTTATTCTCCATTTTTAAAGAGCAACTATGTAATAGTGTGATAAATTTTATCACAGCTCTCTAAATTTGAGCATATATTTAAGAGTTCATACAACTTTGCTTGACAATGTGTTTTGTACTTAATTTTATTTTAACATTTCAATGTATGAACCAAAAGTTTCATATTATAGATATTCTGTTTTACAACTTTTCAACAACAATTATATAAGAGAGTAAAGGACCATTAAAATCTTATGCGATTAATTTTATTTAGTCACATCTCTCGCAGAGACTATATACATGTAAATGCACAGAAAACTTTTTATATATTCTTTAATCTGATCAATTGCGTGTTCTGAAACAGGACTTGCCTATATGGAGCAGTGAATGTTAAGATAATACAGGAAAGAATCATGTATACTTTAAGGAAATAATTAATACTTACTTTATTCTTTACTTTAATTAACTTTTACGCAACAAGTGGCAATGTATTTTGATCTCTCTTTTAGTCAGAAATATGTCGCTTTTTATTTGGGGTGAGAATTAAATTCGTTAAGTGATTGACTGAATAACGAAGGAACTTATATATTTAAATAATAATGTATATGGCTTTCGTTCAATAACTGGCAGCTTTCACAATTTTCACAGTTTTTACTTATTGTTATCTTTTTTTTCTTTTTTTTTTTTTTTCTCTTTATAATTGATTATAAGTTTCGTTTTTACATATTATATCCATAAATCGTAATTTTACTAAATTGTATGTATATTAAGGTAGAATTAGAATCATTAAGATGATTTTATATGATATTATCAGAAAATTTAATCACTTGTTTTTATCAGTAGTATATACGTAGATAACAAGAAAAAGAAAAAATATTTTTCTGCGATTTAAATCAATAAAAATATATGCGCTACAGTAAAAATTATTTTGTTTAATATTAATTAATCAAAAAGATATCTAATGGTTCTAATTTTACCTATGATAAATTGTTATTACAAAAGCAAAAAATTATGCAATATATTTAGAAAATACTCAAATGTTTTTGGTTATACGAATTTTTATTTTAAAGAAAAATTATGAAGAAAAAAATGGGAGAAGTTTGAAATCGCAAAAAGAAAAAAGCACCGACACTAATATTATTAACATTAACGAATAATGATTTTAAAGTAAGCGAATTACATTTATAAGGAAAGATTATGAAAATATATATTTATCTATGTCTTCTGTGAAGATAGAAAATAGCACTCTCTCACTCTATATTGATGATATCAGAAAAGAAAAAATTGAAATCCATAAAGATACAAACGCAGAAGTAGATTAGGGAGAAAGTGGAAGAATTCGCACTGTACACAATACATGATATGATTGATAACAAACCGACGAAATTTGTTAAATACTTTGTACATATTTACATAAAGATCATCAAAAGAAAAGTTCCAGTACATTTTATGTATTACATAAAGTACTTTGGCGAAAAGAATATTACTTGTCATTTGTAAATCGAATTTTCGAAATTAAAAACACTAAAATTTTTGTCTATATTTTCATAGAGATTCATATATAAAAAACCATTTGTTTTATTAAAATTAAAATAATAGCATAAATTTCTTAATAATTGAAATATTAGAATTTCTTAATGAAATTACAATTCAAATTTTTAAGAAATAACTCGTTTAATAAGATTTTTTAAATTATCTGTTAAACTTTATAAAAATATCCCCTCTATGAAAACATTGACTATATTTCTTATAGCATATTGCTAAACTATATATGAAAATTAAAAAAAACTGGTATCTATTTACAATTTATATTTCTTCATATCCTGGAACTGCCATATCAAAGAATTGAGCTTGAATATAAGAATGATTAAATGGAATATTGATCAGAAAGAATGGAATCTACCTGTATATTATCATAAATAAAACGAAACGAGGATCAAAGTAGTTGATTTAACAAGTAAATAAAGAACGAAATGATATATCATTAAATTAGAGGTTTAAAAATATAATAGAATTCAGTATATGTACAGTATTTGAAAAACATGTTTATAATTTGTATGGAAAATAAATAATTGATATAAAAAGAACTATTTCCTATATCTACCTTAAATATTTAATAAAAAAATATTAATTTTATTTCAAGTTCTATAATTATAGATAACTGTCTTTATAATTTATCTTAATATAAACAATTTATAATATTTTATTTTTTTGTGATTTTGTTAATCTTATTTTTAATTTATTTGCATTTATTTATTTTTAATTTGACAAATATATTTGATTATAATATTTATTAACTAAGGTAAATAAAGTACTGGTATGATTTATTGAATAAATATGAGATAAAGAAAAATATGTCAATATGTCAAAAAAATGCGCTGATTTAAATGAAATATATCTACTTTAGAAAATATATATACATACATATATATATATATATATATATATATATATA